GGTAACCTTGGTACGCGGAAACAAGACCTTGGCGTATGCAGGCCGCCATAAACTCTTACCTAATGTTAAGGCTCGAGAAGATAAGAACCGCGCGCCGCGCGAATGGCGAGCGCGATATAGCGAGCCTCGTTCGTCGTGCTCAATGGCTCGAGACTTTCACGAGCATTCCTCACCTGATGCGTCCTCCGCTCGTTCTCTTCTCTCTCTCTTTCTCTTTCTCTCTTCTCTCTCTCTCTCTCTCTCTCTCTTTCTTTCTCGACTCTCTTCTCTCTGCCGCCGCCACGGTTCCGTTCATCTTTTAGCCGCGTTCTCCACCTGCCTCGCCCACCTTCAGTCGTGTGCGCTCTTCGTGTTCCTTTCTGTGCATTTCTGCAGGGCAGCGAAGGAATACGAGCAGCGTCGCGGAAGTCCCGTTTAACCTCTCGAACTCTGATTTACGAGGCGCTCCCCTCGCCGTGGAATGCTCATTTGAAATACACTGTCGGCAGCACCGCTATACGCAATCGCGAAGACGCACTCGTTAATCCCTTCGAGTTAACGCCCATGGAGACGCCGACGGTATTTCCATTCGGTATGACGACCGCGCGTGTCTCGGAGCAATCCATAAAATTGAGATTGTTTTAGTCAGCGAGGCGTTCACGCTTATCCCTGAACGCTCAGTTGGTTTTATTACAATTTGACGATATACCTTATGCTTTTTTCTAAGAACAGATCTCTTTATTTATATATTTAGCACAAGCAGGTCCCGAAATAGAAAACCGCGTTTCTGTATTCTGGTTCGTTCTTCTAACAAGCACCAAACCCCTTGCTTTTTTTACACCGGGCAAACAACTTCTGAGGACCGTAGGTCAGGAAAGATCGTAAATCTCTACCTTAACTGAGACGCGATCTCGGTAAGCTTTCAGGTGCCGCGCAGGGCCTAAAAGCAGCTAATGTATTCGGCCCTAGAGACTCTCGACGTAAATTTTTTTTAAAACGTGAGCTGTGATTTGTATATTCACGCTGACAATATATTTACATTATTCGAAGCATCCCAAGCTTCTCTCTAGAATTTAGAAAACCTGATAATTTTGTATATATTAAATTGAAAAAATTAAAA